CTTGTTTTTTTCTTTTTTACTGTAGATAGTTACTAAAATGAGTCATCCTCAGACAATACAATACTACTAAAAAGTAAAACCAATAATAACAATAATGAAATAAGCAAAAATAATATTAAAATTATATTGAAAGTTTAAAATCTATTTACAGAGTGGAATGGTCGCCTAATAGATAACTTAGATATTATTTATTATTGTTTAGACACTTTAGCCTATTGTATTTACTTTTAGCATGTTCTACTTTTATCTACTGTAGTCTATATGTTTTAATTTATTTAATAACGAATTTATTTAGGCCTACATCTTAATATTTTATGTCATTTATCATAGTTTAGTTCTTAACTCCAGTGTTTCCTCAGTGGGAGCATGTGCGCCAGGGGGGGGCCTCTGGTTCTGTGGCGCTGGCTTGGGGTCCGCTCTCCCCTGGTTGAGTTGAGGGTGGCCAGATTGCGGCAGCGGCCGCCTCCCTCCATGTGATGGTGTTTCCTCTCTGGTTCTTCCGTGCTCAGCCTTATTTTTCTCTTCTTATTTATTCATTTATTAGTGGCGTTTGTATTCGGTTACGGCAGACGGACGGCAATCTGAAATGGAATGAAGCCCACACACAGCAGACAGTAGCTACAAAACAGTAGTGGAATGCACCCCATCCGCCCACAGCACAATGCTCTTAAAGCCCTACGCTATCCAAAGCTGGCAAAATACATTTATTTTATTTTATGGCCTTGACATTAACCTGTCATATTGTTGAGTTATCAAGGACACTTCCGTGTTTTTGTGTGTATACAGGAATGTTAAATATATCATTGAGGAAAACGAGGTTGACGTGACGTTATTGAATCAGGGAATCCGTGTTTCCACCATGAAAAAGGATCCTAATTGACTTTGGCATTGTTTACGTGGTACCGGCACGTAATTTCAACCCATTACGTGCTGCCACCACGGAATGCAGTGTTAAGAGGTCGTGGTTATTTCACGTATTTCTGTGAGATCAGTTTGTGGATAAAGAGAAGAAGGGCGAGGGGGCTTTGGTGCTATGCCCCTTGATTCATCGCTGAAGGCAGCTGTGCACTGTTTCACAAATATGATTTGAATTTTTGAAAAGTTTTTAAATTATTTGAGATTTCACTGTAACAGGTTGGACATGTGAAACTCCACAACACCCAACTACAAACACAATACGATAAAAAAAAGTAAGAAATATCAGTGTAGATATTTACTGTACTGCACTACAGCACTCTTTTTAGCCTCCACTAAAGAAAGACAAAAATGGAGGTGGTTATGTCACTGATGACATCAGCCTTTTTCTTAAAGAGGCAGTTACCCAGGGACATGTGATAAATGTTTAAGTTCATTTTGAAAATAGAATAAATAAATGATCAAAATGAGGGAAGTCAAAATGACTTGTTTTTAATCAAAGAACTTGTTGAGGACGATACGGCTGTATAAAAGGTATTTTAATTTTGTGTCATTTAAGAACTTATTACACTCACTTAAGTTAGCAGAGCAGCATGTGGGACATGCCAAAATCACCCACAGCCAATCAAAGAAAAATGGTATAAAATGAGGGAAACCCATTTTAAGAGATTTATGACTGTACTGATAAATGTGTACATATTTGGTCATTTATGATAAGACCTTGGAATGTCATTGTTTTTGCAATATGTCCATGATGACTGAATGATTCTAACAGGGCACCCAATAATGATCCTAGTCAACAATGAACGGACACAGCAGAGATGGAAATCAAATATTTTTCCTGAGGAATAAGGGGAGACATCCTTCCAAGGAAATGGGAGGATTAGATCACTCTTATTCCAAACAACATGGAAGAGTGTGGCTTAGAGGGTAGAGTGGGTTGTCAACTAATCTGAAGATTGGCGGTCCAATCCCAGGCTCCTAAAGTTCGCATGTCGAAGTGTCTTTGGGCAAGATACTGGACCCTAAATTGCTCCCAATGACTGTTCCATTGGTGTGTGATTGTGTTAAAATAAGCAGCAGCTGGCACCTTGTATGGTAGCCTCAGCCACCTTTGTATGGATGTGTGTGTGAATGGCTGAATGTGACTCATAGAGAAAAAAATGCTTTGAGTGGTCGCAAGACTAGAAAGGCACCATACAAGTGCAGTCCATCCACCATTACCATTTACCAAGCTATCATTTATGGTTCAGGGTAAATTTAAGAACAATAAAATTATACCATGGGGTCCTTGTATAACCAAAGTCAGAGCTGTGTCCATATACTTAGCACAAAGTCAGACATGTTTTTCGGTGGGTGTTGGTCTCCATCATCTTGCATCTCTGCTTTTGGCAGATGATGTGGTTCTGTTTGTAGTATTAGGTGACAAAATGGCATCAGGTAGAAGAAACCATAAATGTTAATAAGTGTTAACAAATAGCCACAAAGCATTTAATGTACTGTCTTTGCACCCATATTATACAATTATATTTCATCCATCCATTCATCCATCCATCTATCCATCTTAAACTGCGGGGGCAGCTGGCCGAGCAACATATTCCAGTCGTCCTTCTTCCCAGCGATGCTTTCTCGCTCCTTTTGATGAGGTATATATAATCCCTCCAGCATGTTTTGGGACAGCCTCTGCAATATCATTCTTTCGGTCACTACCCAAAGCAGAGTAACTCTCTCCCAACCCTAAGGAGGCAATCAACCATTTTACGGCAGAGAAGTGTTGACTCTCATCCCGACTGTTTCACACTCAGCTAACTTTAGTGCATGCTGGAGGTCATGGTGTTATGAAGCCAACAGTGTCTTGTTACTCTTGTCTATTGTGGAGTAATAGCTGGAGGCTTAACACAGGAACATATGACATACGCCTCAGGACAGTTCAGTGTGTTCTTTATTCTGCTGTCCTCTGTGCAACACAATACAACTCACACAAGGTTCCTACCTCGGCATGTCGCCTCAGGGAAAAGCGTGCACAAGCAACAGAGAGCAATTAAAAACTGTAGCTGTAAGCTAAGAGCACAGTCAGGAACAATATCAATACATGTAGCTTATTAACTCCTTTGAGTTTGTAAAATATTGTTATAAAATTGTTATAACAAAGATAAATAAAGATGACAAAATAGAGAAATGCAGAGATTAATTACCTCCTGCCCAGTGAACGGGAGCAGACTGCCCTCTTTGCCACACAGGACCTGCCTGGAGATGATGTCCAGGAGCAACAGTTCACTCCAGCAGCTGTGCAGCAACTTCACCTGGTCATTCAACTTGGAGCAGAAAGAAAGTAGAAACCATTCAAGTACTGGTTTCATCCAGCGTGTCAAATATCTGTGATTTAAAAGGAGATCCTTTCATCTAATCTGAGCATTGAGGCTCATGGGAATGCTATTATTTTTGCACATGGCAAAACACAATTCATTCTCTGGACACATGAATGTCTGCACCAAAATTGTTGTATGATGCATACACAGTATCCATTTGCCATGTTATCCCTCTGTCAGAGACATTTGACATTTGGGGTAGGGACAAGACATGTACTCAAATCCCTATATGTATATATTTTTTTTAATTTTGGAACCACACAGGAACTCAGAGACAGGACCCCATTGGAACATGGCCACGGGGACCCCATTAGAACACATAGATGGGACCCCACAGGAACTCAGAGATGGGACCTACAGGAGGTGAGAGATGGGTCCCCACTAGAATATAGCCATGGGACCCCACTGGAACACGGAGAGAAAAAAATCACCATTAAAAAAAGTAAGTCATGCATGTCATCCCCTCACTCTCTCCCCCTTTCACGGTTGCAGTAATCAAATCTAATGGAAATAAAGGTATGGCCATAGGTCTTACTTTGACATTATTCCTCTCATTCTAGCAATGTTTTTTTAAATGATAGTAGGCAGATGAAGTTACAGCTCCCCCTGCTGTCTGGAACCTAGAGGACCAGAGGCTAGCCAACTGGGGTGCAGACTGGGGCTAACAGACTCCAGGCTTAAGAACCTAGCAGAAGCTGATTGTTAGCAGGCTGGAGGTTAGCCAACTGGGAGACAGGTTGTAGGCAGGGTGGGAATCAGGGGTGTTTATAAAGTCTTTATGCCACCCAGGTAACATTCAGATCTGCCTCTCAGTGTTTTTCTTTGCTCAAGGCTCCTTCCACTCTCCATACCAACATATAAGGGAGTATGATCATAAAGTTCCTATTCAAACAAACCTGCTGCGTCCATAGCTGGGCAGTTAAGATTTGGAGAGCAGGTAGCAAATGCAGATGACAGATGAGGAGCCTGGTTTAGTGCAGGTTGGGGTGGCCCCTGACCCTGTCAGTGCTCCTCTTGCTGTCTTGTGTTTTACTCTTTGCTGGTTGCCTGCAGGTAGATGGGTGGAGCCATGACATTTACATGGGTATGCCTAGGTTATTTAGGCAGGTTCCACATTCTGTTTCCCATGTCTGAAACAGAATGTTTCTGTCTCACCATCATCAACCTTGTTTTGGTTTCTTATTTGTTTTACATTCACAATAACACACAAATAAAAATATTGTTTAAATACTTTAATCTTGTGTGATCTTGGTCATTGTCTAGCTCACTGAGCTGGGGCTGTGACAAATTGGGGTTTGTCCTGTTTATGTACTTGAATTAGGCTCTTGGTAACTTGTGGTAGTTGCCTTGGACTTTTGTCTGTTCAGAGTGGTGAGTAATGACTCATGAATCATGCCCCCAGCGCAATCACACCAAAGTTGGCAAAATGCTGTCCACTTGGTTTTGAGGTACACACTTTTGCTATATGTGATGCCTTCTATGTGTTGGGCTCAAAATGCTTTGGTAGACCTATGCCCAAACATATAATGCAAATATCTTCCAAGATTTATGATGATGGGTAGAATTTATTCGTGATTTATGGCCCATTTTCTACTAAGCCCCGAACCTTTGCGAAGATATGTGATTGATGGCGGCCATGTTTTTTTTTTTTTTAACCCATTTTGCTCATTTACAATAGAAATGTGAAAATATGCATTTTTGTCCTGCAAGACTGTATGTAACAGGTAGACATGTATTGTTCTATGGGGAGTTGTTTTGTGGGTGTATTATATATGGGGTGGAGGGAATTCAAATTTGCTGTGAGCCAGTGGCTTTGAGTTTGGGTCTGATTGAAGGCAGTGTGTCTGAGTGTGTCTCCTCACACTGAGGTTATTTAAGCATGTGCTGCAAAACACTGCTTTCTAGTAGGGCTGGGCAATAAATCGATTTTATCGATTAATTCGAATTTGCAGTTTAGGCCGATTTGTTTTAATGAAAATCGAGTTTCTATTTAAAATCCGCCACCGCCGCTCCACACTGGGCTCCAGTAGTTCAGAGTGTGCTCACCCCTCCCCCCCGCGCGCTCGTTCTCAAGAAAGGGAACGAGTTCTTCGGCGCTTTTGTGTGCTCACCTGTGTCTGTGTGTGTGTGCTCACCTGTGTGTGTGTGTGTGTGTGTGTATGTGCGCGCATCAGGGCTGAACTCCGCCATGCGCGACACAGAGAGCAGAGGGGGATTTTAGACGCGCACCGTGTAGGGACATAAATGACATGCCGTTGTGTAAATAAGATAATAAGTGCTACCAACGCCAAGCTGGCAGACCCCCGAACCGTAGTAAAGGGACCTCCGAAGACCATTAGCTCCTTTAGCTTGTGTTAGCTTGTTGTGGCAACAACACATAAACAACGGGACTTTGTCTGCGATAAAGAACGGCACTGTATTTTCAGCACTGCAGGGATGATGCACAGCCTCTCTCATCAGTGTCTGACTTTTATATAGAGGGAAATAACTCAAAAACAGCATGCAGAACTGCGTAGGCTTCTTCACTGTGGCTGCTCGATGTAAACAACATAGCAGCACATGCCTCACTTTCTTCCTGGGGCGCATCCGTCTGATGTCACACACCACACCCGGCGCACTAATGTCTCATACCTCCTACATCAACTACACACATACACAGCTCCACACACACACACACACACACACACACACACACACACAAGCCACACACATAAGGCTCAGCCTGTGACATAAGGCTATTTAGTTTGTTTAATAAAAGGACAAGGTATAGACCTGTTCTATAGGAAAGGTAACCTTAATTGACTTCTGTTGTGATCCAGTATAATGGTAGGGGAAACACTGCCGTATGATAAGAAAGGGGCCCAGTGGAAAGCAATCACAGATGCAGTCGCCATGTATATTGCAAGAGATATGGTGCCCATATATAGGCTACCTTGGAAAAGCCGGGGTTTATTCACATGCTGAAAGTTTTGGACCCCAGGTATGTGCTACCAGGCTGCAAATATTTTTTTTTTTTTAACTAGGAGGGGAAAAAATCGATTTAAATCGTGAATCGGATTTTTTGTGAAAAAATCGTCGATTTTTTTTAGGCCATATCGCCCAGCCCTACTTTCTAGGTATGGTGTGCGTGTGAGATCTGTGTGAAAATTGTTCAATTAGTGAAACTCCTGTCTCATTCTGGTTGTGCTCTCTCCGTGCAGGCAAGGGTCTACCTGCAACACCGCTGACAAAGGGCAGAGTTGGCTTCCTGAGGGCTGAAGTTTTACCAGCCTTGTCCATGGTGTGGCTCAAAGACGACTGCACTAAGTGTGTTGATTTGTGAACAGACTGAGGAAGCAAGAAACCTGTGGCCCTGGACCTTGGACTCCCCCTGCCCCCCCCCGATAAATAGACACTGACAGTGACTCTTATCAGTGGAGAGTGGAGGACCTCATGAATATATTTTGCCCATTTGGTTTTAATATATTTTGCCCATTTGGTTTTAATATGTTTTGCCCTTGCTGAGACGGGTTGTGAAATCAGAACCTGTAGGCCCACTGCAGTGTGTTGTATGTAGCAAATTTGGTGTTAATAGAGTGAATGTGGTCGATTTGAACATCATTGTCACTTATTGGGCCATGTTTCCTGACTCTAGCTCATTCCAGCTCATGGGTAATTGCAGAAATAGCAGATAACTAACAAAAAAAATAATCTGTATATAGCTGATAATGGTCAACCTGGGTTCAAGTTCTTTTTCAGCCAAAAAGCAGCTCAAAGTTTTAGGCTTCTCAAAGCCAAGCAAAGTCACTACAGCTGGTTTAATTTTTTCTAAAGGAGGGAGACCAATCTCACACTCGTTTCGGCATTACAATGTCTGCAACATTTGGATGTGAATGAAACTGAATGATTAATGGCTGCCATATTTTTGACTGATTTTGTTCATTGGCAGTAGGATTGTGTTTCTCAGTCCTACAAGGTTGTATACCGACTTTGGTGTTGACAATAAATATCCAGAAAAGTCAATTCATATTACTAATTTTCACATGATGCAAATAAGCTAAGAATCCACCATGGTGGCCTCAATTGTCCAACCAAGCAGAACCTCTAGGGCTTAAAAAATGAAGGCAACACAGAAGTGCCCATATCTGCAGTTTATCAAATGTCCAACTGAGGCTGGCCCCAGAAGCCAGTCAATCCCCATGTTAAAATGCCCAACTTAACAGCAGAAATAAACATGTTTACAGCCTGGTACAAAAAAAAAACAGTTTTTGGTCTCTATATCTAATTTTCCCTGTTCGTGACAACTGTACAGGGGGTGAATTTTTATATAACTCACCTGTTTACATTTTATTAAGGCTTAACATTACATATAGTTGAGAGCTGGGCAGCTTTAAGTGACAGGCTGTCTGCCTATGGTATCCTCAGTCTCAGTCAGATCCACCCCTTACTCCTCTTACCCAAATATGGTTTTACAGTGCCCAAAATGAGTCCCGTTTTCTTTTATATTGTGTAAACTATCATGACTTAAGAGAGCTTGTATTCTGTGAAAGGGCTCATCTATACCCTGACATTCTCTGGTACTTAGATGACCAAAAGCTAGAATGGTTGGTTATTCTGATGTGTTTAGATTTTTCAATTTTGTTCTTGAAGCCTGGAAGGCAAAAAAGTTTGTTTAATTAGTATTGATTTGATTTCTTTTCTCAGTTTTACATGATAAATGCCTTTGTAAGTGATCCACGGACTTGATCTTTCAAACTGATGATCTGATTATATATGATGCTTTTGCTACTTTGTTCCATTTTCTTTCCTTGTAATGCTGTCTGAATTTATGTTTGCTGGACTCTGATCCTGGCTTGCTCTGAATCTGTGGTGTCTTGTAAGCCCCTGTGGGCTCGGCATAACTGCTTGCATGACACAATTATGAAAATTCATTCATTCATTCATATGATCACTTCTGCCTCCAACAA